CTGAGTTTTACACTAGGGTCACAACAATCCAACGCAGCAACACAGGTTCAGGAAAGAGTGGCTGGAAAATTGCCTGGCAGAAAAGGACCTGAAGGTGCTATTTGAAAGCCAGCTGAATATGAGCCTGCAGTGTGCCCAGGTGACCAAGGAGGACAATGGCATCCTGGCTTGTATGATATATAGCATGACCTGCAGGACTAGGGAAGTGATTGTCCCTCTGTGCTCGTCACTGGTAAGATCACACTGCAAGTACTGTGTTCAGTTTTGAGCCCCCCATTACAAGAAGGATACTGCGTTGTTCAAATGTGTTCAGAGAAGAGCAATGAATCTGGTAAAGGGACTAAAAAACAAGACACATGAGGAGTGGCTAAGGGACTGGGGTTATTTAGCCTAAAGGAAAGGAGGCTGAGGGGAGACCTTGTTACTCCATAACCACCTGAAATGAGATTGTAGCAAGGTCAGTGTTGGGCTCTTTTCTCAGGTGAGAAGAGACAGGACACAAAGAAATGTCTTCATGTTGTGCCAGGGGAGGTTTAGGTTGGATATCAGGAAGAATTTCTTCAAGGAAAGGGTTGTCAAGCATTGAACAGGCTGCCTAGGGATGTGGTGGAGTAGCCATCTCTGGAGGTATTTAAGAGGTGTGTGAATGTGGTGCTTAGGGACATGGCTTATTGGTAGACTAGGTAACGTTAGGTTGATGGTTGGACTTGATCTTAAGAGTCTTTTTCAACCTAAATGATTCAATAAGAAACCTGCTGGAAGTGGAGGAACACTATCTCTGAGAAGAGTAGTAGAGGCCCACATCTGTTGTAGGACTCCTGCAGAAGAGTAATGAATTTTGACCTTTTGAACGTAGTTAATTCTAAGTACACAATCAGATGACTGTGAGGATATGTGTGACTCTTTTAGTGAATTGAGTGTGTGGTGTTGTGTTTTTTGCTTGTTTGTTTGTTTAAATTCAGACCTAAATCTGATGGATGCAATCATAACATAACACTATGTTTTTTATTTGCAGTAATGAATGAAGATCCCCTTGACCACGTTATTGCTCGTTTAGTCATTGAAAACTAAAAATAATTATACACAAAAAACTACAGTTAAAAGGAATCCATAAAATACCAAGAGAGGTTTACTGAAGAACACAGAGCAAGTTATCCTTGAAGCCATTAATAGGCATACAGTGGAGTGGTGATTTTGAACAGACAGCATGCATTTATCAAGGGCAAATCAAGGCCTGCCCAAGCCAATTTCCTTCTGCAATGGGATGTCTCATCTGGTGGACAAGAGCTGAGTAGCATTTGTAGTTTACTGTGACTTTAGCAAAACCTTTGACACAGCCTCCCTTAGTATACTGGTAACCACACTGGTGAGACATGGGCTGGAAAAGCAAAATATAAGTTGTATAGAAAACTGGAAGACCTGAAGTTGTTATCAGCAGTTCAAAAACCCTGCTAGTGGCCAGTTGGTAGTGATGTTCCTAAGAGGTCAATACTGTAGGTGATACTGGTTAATGTATTCAATAAAGGTTTGGACAGTGGGCCTGGAAGTGTTCTCAGAAAGTTCATGTATGATACCAAGCTGAGGAAAAGAGCAGTTCATATGCTGAAGAGCAGAATAGCTGAGAGGCTTGAAAAGGATGGAGGAACAGGCTGACGCAAATTCATGAAGTATAACAAAGGCAAATGCAAAGCCCTGCACCTGAGATACAATAATTCTATGCAAGAGGATGTACCAGGTGAGTCAGCTAGACAGAAACAGCTTTGCAGAAAAGGACCTTTGGGTCTTGGTGGACAAACAGTGAATTAAACATGAGGCACCATTGCACTTTTGAGCCTACAAGACTAACCACATATTGACTGTAGTTATAAAAGTTCAGAAGGTCTAGAAAAGTGGTGCTTTCCCTATACGCAACACTTGTTATGCTACATTTGGAGTATTGTCTTTGATTTGGAGCTCTCCAGAACAAGAAAGACATTGATAAACTCAATCAAGGTAGGTGGATGATGCACCTGATTGCTTTCACAAGCTACATAAGGGGTACTTAGACAGAAGACAACACCAGACTCTTCCCTCACAAAAGAACAAGATGCAAGAGGCAAGTTGTAGCAAAGGAGATTCCAACTATATACACATATACATACAAACACATATATACATTTTATTCACTGTGAGAGTGGTCAGACAGACACTGGACCAAGGGATACTGTGGAACCTCCAACCAAAACTTGACAGGACCTGAGCAACTTTACCAAACTTTGAAGTTATTCCTGCTTTTTGCACAGAGGCTTGCACCAGATGAGCTCCAGAGGTTCTTTCCAATCTAAATTATGTTCCAATTCTAAGATTTTTCTCTAAGATTTTTTTTTTTTTTTTGAAGGCATCCCAAACATTCAGCAGTTAAGACCCATCTATTTTAGGTTTCTCAGCTAGGCACCAGTCTGTCTCTTCAGTTTTCATTACAGTTACTAGATTTCTAAATATATTATGTGTGACATTCCAGTTTCACTTTTTAAAATGACAGTAAAGGCACAAAGTTAAATGGCAAAGTTATACAGAGGAGAATTTGGATATCATAAAGGGAAAAAAAAGGATGAACCTGAGAATGGCAAAATACTGTGGAATACAGTGTCAAATAGAAAGTGTCACAGTTAGTGGCCAGTGACAGGAGTTTCTGCTCCAAGGTAGAAACTCCCTAGCTGGAAATTTTTTAGAAGACCCTGAGTGCATCCATTAATCATAGATAACTATCAGCAACCCTGACAAATGTGCTTTTCTGAAAATGTTATATGTAATCTTAGAATATATCAGACAAGGCTAGAGATAAGGCATGGTTAATATTTCAAAATGTGGCACTGGTGAGATTACACCTGGAATATTTTTACATTTTTAGTCATGGTCATTGATGAAATATGGATCCGGTTGGAAAGCACTGTAGCTAAGGGCTCCGAAGATGTGCTTACAGAAGCAATAAAGTCTATTTTTCAGGAAGTGATTGAACTTGATTATCTTGTTTACCTAGTAAAACAGGTTGAAAAATTGTGTTGTCTTCATTTATAATAAATGTTGAGTGCTAAGTATTAGATTGAGCAGAAGAGCTTTTAATCCTAATGGACTCTGCCAGTGCAAAACCAGGATATAGTTTGATTGTGAATACTCATAGAATGGATATGCTGGTTTTGCCCCATACAAACTCCACCACAACCGCTCTCTCACATCCCTTCCTCAAAAGAAGAGATGACAGAGAAGAAAGTATGATGGAAAGAAAAAAGAAAAGGCTCACTGGTTGAGATAAGGATAATTTAATTAAAGGAAACAGAAAGGGCCGTGTGTGGTAGGGGGGGGACAACAAGCAAAGGCCATGGGGAAGCACAGAGGGAAGGAAAAAAAAAGTTCTCTACGTGTTTGGCCATGTTTCTACATGTTTGGCCATGTCCTGGGAAGCAGGGCCTCAATGCACATAGTGGTTGTGAGGAGAAGACATCTTCATAAGGAGAGCCTCCCTTCTCTTTCCCATTCCCCACCTTTTATTGCTGAGTGTTACACCATATGGCATAGGATAACCCTTTGGTCAGTTTAAGTCAGCTCCCCTGGCGATGTCCCCTCCCCACCCCTTGCCTACCCCCCAGCCTACTGGCTTTGGGGGGGTTTGGAGAGAGTCTTGGTGTTGTGCCAGCAGTGCTCAGTGCTAGACAAAACTGGTGTGGATACCACTGCTGTTCTAGCTACAAGTGCAGAACACAGCACTGTATGGGCTGCTGCAGGGAAAGTTAACTCCCTCCCAGCCAGACCCAGTACATGAAAACCAGAAGTTTCCTGTGTACCAGGGAAGCAATGTTTTGCAGTAGCCTTAGAAGAGGATGAGTTGGGAGGAATACAATTCTTGTGTTCAAGGCAGAGTGTGGCCTTTTCACCAAAGGAGATTGCAGGCTGGATTTGTGACCTAGGATTCCAACTGCATTCTTTTTTTATAATTTTATTAATGCCTGCATGTGAATTGCCATGCCGTATAACTTTGGTGTGACTACCATTTTCTTGATAATTATGTAGTTTTTTCTATGGTACTTCCTGGTTAAATGTCAGAAACAAAACCCATGAACAGTGCAAGATATCTCTGATAACAGTACTGAAGACCAAACTTAATTAAGATTATCCAAAGGTCAGGGTATTAAGTAGTCTGTAATTGTTCATAGCAGGTTAAAGAATGGCCTAGGTGACTGTGGTGGCAGTGAAGGTGCACAAAATAAAAGGAATGGCACATTTTGGTGTAACATCTAGGTGGAGAGCAGTTATTGTTCACATATTTTAAATCTGACTTTAAAAAAACAAACAAACAACCAAACAACCAAACAAAAAAACAACCAAACAAACAAAAAAACTACAGGTACTCTTAGGAATCAAGCATAATTCACAACAAGAGCAACAAGAGTGTAATCAAATAAAATACTTCTCAGGAACGCAGCTCAGGTTTCCTTGAATTAGAGCTGTAAGCAGGTAAAGGGCTGATCCAAAGTACACAAAGCCCCAGTACACTTTTGGGATGGGTTTGCCTGTGTTGTTAATAACACTGAGGTATAAACCTGAACATTCTTCAAAGCACAAGTGTTTTTTGAACACCCAGTTTGTTCAATACACCAAATATGTGGTATTTTCTCTTCCTGCAAGTCCTTGGCTGGCTCTAGCATGGCTTAGATGAAACAGAAATTAGCCATACACTAGAAAAATAAAACTTCTCATCCAAATACATTTTAGCTATCAGTAGGATAGCTAAAGCAGGAACACTTCTGAAGTTGGGATGTCCAATTTTTAAATGCCAGGAAGGTGTGAACTATTTGAATTTATAAATTCAGTGAGCTGAGGAAATCAGATGTTTCACAAAAGGGTATACAAATAGTACACACCTGCACATTTTCTACCTAATTAATTTTTGACCACTGTAGATAAACATGTATTTTGGGACCTTTAACAGAGGGCAGAACTGGGAGGAGACAAGATTAAAACTGCCTAAACCATAGTTTGTGTTAGAAGTTAATGATTCTTCTACCAAGTACCAACACAGCCTTGCTTAAGGAGAGAATCTTCTGGCTTTTGAGCATTTGTGTGGTAATATAACTGCTGTTGTTGTGAATACAGAATCTAGGTAGGAACCTCTTTAATATTCTTTTTGTTTGTCTTAACCGCGAAATGTTGCCATTTAGCGTTTGCGGCTAACAAACATTACCCGTGTAGTACTTGCTGCGTATCCTGTGACCAATTACACCGCTAACGTTCCTGTCGTAAACATCAACATTTTAATGATGGCACCATGGATTTTTATGTGTCTGTCTAAACTGTAAGAATCATATGCCGTGAAGAATGAAAGTAGCATTTAGGCCTGCATGGTACTGTGATATTCATTTGTCATAGTACATTAACTTGACAGATCTTATTATGAATCGTTAATGTATTTAAAAATCAGTAAGACAACTATATTAACATTTCAGTTAGTGTAAATCAATACAGTTCCATAAACTACTGGAAGAAATCTGTCTCTTGATTTGTGATACTGTAATCTATTGGGTAGTGATACAGCTGCTGAGAATGCCACCGCAGTGAAAAACAGCCCAAGGACTTAGTGTCTTTGCTGGATTTTGAAAATTCCTCTGAATTACTGTATTTTTCTTTTATAACTTCTATAAAATCCACAGAAAAATCCATAAAGTCCAAACTATTGTCTTGACATTTGTAAACTAATTATCTGTTATTTGTGCTAAGTTGTTTACGTTGGTGTTCTTATTCACATTAATTTGCATATAATTAAGGAGTGGAAAACCAAGCTTTATTTATTTGTTTTTATTTTTATTTTATTTTTATTTTATTTTTATTTTTATTTTTATTTTTATTTTTATTTTATTTTATTATTTTTATTTTTAATGTTCAATAAGGGGTAGATCTACCTTGCAGGAACAGAGATAGGCCATGGACCCTATAAGATCATATACCATGAAACACTGAAGAATCCTGTGGCTGTCATTTGCAAGAGTGGCTGCTACCCTCTGGAATGGGCTTGCAAAGTGCCACACACTTCACACAATTCTGTGAAATCTCTCAGCTTTCTCCAGTGCAAATGATGATTACTGGTTAAGACACTTGGTCTTTCCTCTTCTGTTTCTCAGCAGAGTCTGTACTGAGCACAAGACCAAAGCTGTCTCGTGCTGTAACCAGCTGTTCATCAAATGTTCCCCTGGTATGATGGAAAATTGAACTAGAAGAGCATTAATTTTCATTCTCACAATATGGCTTGGGGCTTCTTTGTTTGCTTTCCTTATGCTTGCTTTTGGAAATAGTATTGTTTTCTTCCTTGAGGAAGGAAGTCAGTGTGGATTTTGTTTAGGCTGAGAGACTACCTAACTAACCTAAAAATGTTATTTGACTGATCTTGCCCTTCTGCAAATACAGATACCTCAAGGAATTACTGCAGCAGAATGGCTTGTGCAGATGAAGTGTAATAGTTTTGGGGAAGTCATATAACTGATTGAACACATTTGATACTTTTCATTTCATACTTTCATTTCACACATTCCTTATACATTTCATACTTTTCCTCAGCTTGTACCAACTCCTTGATTTATTAAAGATGGGAAAAAAAAAAACACCCTAGTGAAATAAAGCTAAAATAGCAACTTCATCAATACTTGAAATTGTCATGCTCAACAGCTAGTTTATGTTGGTATCAATAACAAATAAATGTTTTATCTTTTTTTTTTTTTTTTCGTTATCTTCTTGTGACATGGCATTTTCCCAGCCCTGGTCTTCAACAGATTTCCATGTAGGTCAAGGTCAACTGAGGACAGCAGATGTTGCCAGCAGCTCCAACTCTTGATCCTTGCACATAGCTCACTCTGACATTTCTCCAGCACAGGCTGTATCATCTTTTCACTTCCCTCTCTCCCATTCTTCCACAGCAAAAGCAGCACCTTCTGCAGTAGTATCTTTGCAAAGCAGTGATAAGACATTATTCAACAATGACAGGAACTGGTCACACTTGTTCTTGCCTGAGAGTGCTTCCCTAGATCTCTGGAGAAGCTAATTACCGTCTTCTATCTGGCTTCACATTTTTCTGTGTGCATCAGGTAGCTTTTGCCCCCAGAAGATGAATTTTACTTTATTTTTCTTCTCTTTATCATCCTGGATCTTGCTTGATACCTTAACCTCTGCCTCTGGCTGCCTTTTTCACTATTTACCTCTAACTTCTTAACCTTTCCTTTGATACTTACTGCTCCTACTTTAAATCTGACTGTCCTCCCTTTTTGTGCCTTCACAATCTGTCTTTGAAACATTTACCAGGATGTCCTGCTGAACTTCTTCAGTTACAGTTCTGGATATGTAACTGCCTTTGTCTTTTCTCAACTTTACCTCTTATTTTTATCCTTGTTTCTCTGTCTTAACTCATTCTCTCCTTATATTCAGATTCTACCTTCAAACTGTCTAAAAACTGCAACTTCTGTAGGTCTGTTACCTGCAATGACATGTTTTCCCAGCATCTTACTGTAGTCCTTTGTGTATCTTACAACAGAGAAGCTAATACCTTCACATTATATCGGGACAGTTAAATTTCAGAGGACAATGTGCTTATAAGTACTGACTCCCTGAATGCTAAAAATCTCATTTCACAAGCATTTCTATTGGTAGTTATGCAGACATGAGAAAATATTATTTCCTCTTCTTCTTGTTCCTATCTGTCTGAGGAAGGATTTTTTTTTCTTTTGTGGATCTGTTTTCTGACCCAGATTTACAGCACAGCCACAGAAGCAGTGTTACTTTCATGAGTGAAGAGTGTGGGAAGCAACGGGAAAGGAAAGGTGTTGTTTCTGCCAGCATTAGTACCTAAACAACATGCTCATTAACTTAATGACAAGAAAATTATTTAACTCTATTTTTTTTGTGTACTTGTTTTAAACATCCTTATGTGTTAACCCTGTTCCATCTGAGTGAAGAAAAACATTTTTCACCATACCCGAATGCCTACCCTTTAAATGCTCTGCCATATGGCCTGTGGCAAAGCAATTTGCAAATGCAGATGGACTTATTCCAGCACTAGAAAAGTTCATCCAACTTTTTTCAACTCCATTCAAGCATGGAAAGCCTCTCTTTGTATGAGTTTCCTCCCCTCTCTTTCTATCATTCTCACTCTTTTCTGAAATGAGGAGAGTACTGTGAAAGGTGAAATAAATCAGTTCCTGTGAGCTATGATTTGGGGTCATTAGTGCCAATACTCCTATCTCCCCTGTGTGTCAAGATCTACAGGATCTGAAGAAAGCTTTGTTTCAACTGATCCATTTTTTTCCGAGGGGCTCTGCAGTGTCATCTGGATCTTCCTTCAGAAATCTGTTCTGTTTGTAGTTGGAGTTGCACAAACGGGCAAGTGTTTTACTTCTTTGAATAAACTTTGCAAGTATATATGTAGGCTTCCCTTAAAGCATTTCACTGAAATATTTTTTCTGTATAATTGCTTAGCCATCTCTCAAATATAAGATTAAGAAACTGGAAAAAAAAAAAAAAAAAAAAAAAAAAAAAAAAAAAAGCTAAAGTATGTAACATTCATTGCACTAAAACCAAATCCAACTTAATCATGCAACTAGTCTTTCAAGAAAAAATATTTATTTCAGCGGAGGAAATGATCTGTCCTCTTCGGATACTAGGTGTTCTCTTCCCAGGGGAACTGGAGCAGTTCTGCTGAAATCCTGACTTGCAGAGGACTCCATGTGTCAGGGTATATAGATAGCACTCTGTGGACAGAATGGGACCAAGGAAACCCCATATAACACTGTAAAAAAAAAAAAAAAAAAAAAAAAAAAAAAAACAGCAAAAACATATAAGCTCCTTAAAAGAGGTCAGGTAGATAAAATAATTTATCATCTCGTCATTAAGAGTTGTTTCCAACAGGTCATTGCAAAAGGACAAGTTGGATGGCACAGTGTTATTACATGTCTTTCCAAAATGCTGATTGGGTCCTAAGCCACTTGACCCACAAAGTCAGAGCTTCCCTAGTACTCCTTGCACTTCACTACTGATGCTATATTGACCCCTCTAATTCACTTTTGGACAGAGACTCTTCCTCTTACTCTTTTGTGGAAATAGTCTTTTTAGCATTAAAATCATTATAGACAGAAAAAAAGTAAAAAAAGTGGGGTGAGAGGTAGGGGCAGTAGAGAGAGTGAAGGGGCATTTCACTTTAAAAGAAAGATGTCAAAACAAGATACTTCCAAATTTAAACAGGTATATGCTTTTAAAGATCTAAGTCATTGAGCCAAACCTTTCCAGTGGAAAGATTCAGTTTCATCATCTCAGTGTTTTCTCATAACTACTGTTTCATTAGAAAAATTATCAAACAACTCTATTTTGACATATGTATTTTTATATCTATTATTGTTTTCTCTTGGGTTCAGATCACTCAGTAGACAAATCAACCATGACAGTGGAAACTGAATCCAGCAATGTTGATGACTCAAATCAGGAAGCAGAGCCTGTCCAGCTTTTGGATGATGAAGCAAACAAAAATCTACCAGTCAAAAAGAAGACTACCTGTTGCACAGGACTAAAGGTTTGGTTCTTATCAATATCACCACAAATTACTGATGTAATAAGTTAAGAAATCTCATTCAAGATTTGGCATTACAGTTTGCTTACTTCTTGTTCCCCCTGTCTTTTCTGGAACTAAATACACACTGTAGGTGCAGGGAAGGGTTGGATCTTATCTAACTTTGCCCTAAAAATAAAATAAAATAAAAATTCTAAACTAATATATTTACTCTTTAATTACTTATAGTTAGGTCCCCATTTTGGTCACTGAAGACAGGTAGTCTCCAGTGGAAGACTTGAAACATCCTAAAACAGGTAACATTGAAGTCGAGAGGTTGTTATCAATACCCATTTTTAGAGCTAAAATGAGGTGAGCTGAATCATATTCCAGGACTTCGTGTAATCCATTGATTCATGCAAGCACTTACGTTTTCAGGAGAACACAGGAACAACAGACAGAACAAAGCTAGTAAACTAGTGAGGTTTTTGCTTTCTTGTTAAAGACTTCAGTATTTACTACTTGTAGATGAAGTACAAATGAAAGATTATTTGTAAAATATAGGCAATTGTAAACCTCTCAGACACCCAGAGGGGTTTGGCTCGAGGATCAGGCAAACTTTGTTACATTTCTTTTTTTTTCTGGCTCACATCTGCCACCCATATACATCTGTAAAAATAGAATCTAAGCTCTCTGGGAGACTCACAGGACAAACTTTGCCATCATATACATGTGCAATGCTTCAAGACTGTGGATCTGTATCTGCAACATCCTGTGACTGACTTTATGGCAATTAGAGATTAGTAGACATAATACCTTGCATGTAACAAAAGACAAACTGTTCTTCTACCTCACCTTCCTGTCAAATATTTTAGGGTTTACATGGGGACTGCATTTTCAAACCCAAAACATCTATGTCATTTTTGTTTGTGTTTTCATGCTTATCAGCAGTTTGCAATTTCAGCCAAAACCTCTGAGACCACTGCTGGCATAAGGCAGGAAAGGTGGTTCTCACAGATTTTTTGTCAGTTGAACTCAGGAAATCCAAAACAGGTCAGGACAAAAGCCTTCACTTATGTGATTTTTTCTTTATTCCTTGACTAAAACAAAATAAATTTACCTATTTTCAAGCATGTGCTTGACTTCATTTCTTACAGTAGATAGAATTGCAAAGTTTGAACATATATTGACTTTTGTTTACTTACCCAAAGTTGTGCTGTATTGGAACTTTTACCCAGTGAGCAATAAGTCTATTTGTTTTTAGATTATGTTGAAATAGTTAGATAATATTTAAACAAACTTAGTTTAACTTGTTATCAAATACACCTTTATTTGCAAAAGCCACAATGTGTGTTAGTGGAAGTAACTATAAAATTACAAAGAATGTCAAGCTTTCCTTTATGAAATACATGATATAGAAGCAACACAGACATGATTCATGTATTTCAAAATATATTTTAGACAGAGAGGAACTCAAATCAGCCTGCACTGCCTTCCATATACTAGAATACCATGAAAACTTGCATAAAGCCATAAAGCCATTTTGGTGCCATGGCTAGCTATATGGTTATGAACTGAGATAAAGTAAGTGGCCGAAGCAGAAAATAATTGGAGCTAAGATTAATTTTAAGTTGGACTAGTTTCATTAAATCTATCTTGATGAGGTATTTCACCTGTGGGAAATTTTTACATTTCTGTGATATCTAGAAATCTCACCATTTTGATTGCCCAATATGGGCCTCAGCTTTTTGATAAATTTAACCACAGGATGCCAGTAAGGTAAACAATCCCCAGTGAGTTGTCTGCCAAATTTAAGTTTTACAGTCCAAAGGATTCCTCCTCTGCAATACCTCTGACCACCAAGGCAGGAAAGATCAGGCTGTCTGACCATTGTCAGCCATTGCAACCCTGAACATGAATAAAGCAAGTGCCTGCTTTCAGTGCAGCACCCACTACCAGTCCTTTCCTGTGGGGAAAACCTACGCAGGGAGCAAACATCAGTGAGTCCACCCTGGCACCACTCTCTCATAACTAGGGTACAAGGAAATTCACACACAATGTTGTCACTGCAATTTGAGTAACAAATAAACACCACGATGCTTGTTCTGCACAGTTTTAAAAATATTTTGATCTCTATGTTACCAGTTTTCCTGTCCCTACTTCTAATTATTTTTTTGCCTTAATCTTCCCTCAGATGTTTCTTGCTGCTTTGTCATTCAGCTACTTCAGTAAAGCATTGTCTGGTATAATTATGAAAAGTTCCATCACACAAATTGAACGAAGGTTTGACCTTCCAACTTCTACCGTTGGTTTCATTGATGGGAGCTTTGAGATGGGTAATAATATTCTGTAACATGCAGCAGACTGTTTAGAGAACTATGAGATGTAGCATCTGACATTAATTTTGGTTCTTTACTTTCTAGGTAATTTGCTGGTGATTGCATTTGTAAGCTACTTTGGAGCTAAACTTCACAGGCCCAAAGTCATTGCTGTTGGATGCTTTACTATGGCTTTAGGGAGTCTTTTAACAGCAATGCCTCATTTCTTCATGGGATAGTAAGTACTTATCAAGACTAATTTCAGTGAAATTAGATATTGCTTTCTGATTTTTGAATGAAAGCTGCTGTATTTTAAGACTTAGATTTCCAAAAACCTATAGCACCTCACTTTAATGTGCAATGAATTGCACACCACTATTCATTATATCTGGTTGAAAAAATATGACTCTTCTGAAGTAAAAGATCAACTTCTGGAAAACAAAACAAAACAAAACAAAACAACATGAAAATCCATATGCTTTCATTTTCAGTCAGACTTGTGCAGAGAAGAGACAGAGAAGTAAGAGATTTTACAAAATCAATAGAAATATATGTTTTAGTTACAAAATCATGTTCTTTGAAAGTCTTCAACCATGCTACTACCCTGATACTATTTATTTAACAAATTATATACTCTTTCTGAATGGCTAACTGTAAGAAAACCTTATTGAGAAAATCAGTGGTAATATAATAATGTGGTATGGCTGGTTGCTAACAGATGTCAGGATAACATAGTATGGAAAGTCAAATTATTATGAACCAAATTTCATATAGCTATCAGAATTCACACAATATAGAAGCCACCTATATGATTTCCAGAAAAAAAAAAAAAATGTTGAAATTTGTGCTGTTTTGAGCAGAACCTCAACCAGCTCTGAGCTGATAACCTTATACTGGTGGATATCTCTTACTGAAATATGACTTTATTTATAGTAATGAGTAACTCTCATGTAAAATCAGGGCTCCAGAGATTACTCATTGAAGAAATCATCCTACAGAAGTCCTCACTGGAAGAAATCTCCTTGAAAGAGGAAACCAGAACCTTCTTGTGTAAGATGGTGTATTTGTGAAACAAATTCTGTGCTGTTCTGTAGCAACTGCTCACACAAAGCAGCCTTTCAGCTTCAGAGCCAGCAGATGCATCAGTGCTCATAGAACTGGTCCAAGGGCATTTTCTGTTCCAAATGCTCATGTCTGGTTAAATTGACTTACCATGGCTGGTTAAAATAATTTTTATGCATCTTCTCCTGATTCAGAGAATTACTGTATTTTGCTTATATGCAATGTTTCTAGCTATAGCTTTGATACATAATGATACATAGTGATAACATAATGAAACACATTTCTGTTGCTCTCTTAAGTGTATTAGAATAATTTAAGCTATACTTATGCAAAAAGAAACCTACAGAATGTAAATATATATATACACACATATATATTTTTTGTCATGATAGTGGATCTTGCACTAGTATTAAGACTTGTATTTTCCAGTGCTTAAGCCAAGCTGTGTATCTATCTCATCTACACTGGGAAACTCATAAAGTCTCTCATGAATTTGGACCTCAATTTTCATGAGGAAATTATGCACTATCTCCTGTGATGAACACTCTTTGTTTCAACCTCAAAAATAAGCCTGCCTTGTCTAATAGAGCCAGCCTAATTCCTAGAAGCAGTGTGTGTTTTACCACGTTGTTCTTTCTAAACTCAGTGTACTTTGCACTCGACGGGGCTCATATCTGGGAAAAGCATGATGCTAAAGCAGTCAGAAAAATTCCAGCACCTGAGATGCTCAGTTGTCTGCCCACAGCATTGCCCTGCTTCCCATATACACAGCTAGAGTGTCATTTAAAGACTATATTTATCTACCTGCTACTATACAACAACTATTTCTAAATCCAATGCCAAATAACTGGCAAATAGATACCTCCTGAGGATGACTTCTCCCTTCCTTACATCTTCCCCATACTCCCACAAATATATATCTAAGATAAAAAGGGAGACTCACAATCCAGAGATTTTCCTTTTTCTCCTTCACAGTTTGGTCAACATAGGGATCTCACTTGGAATAGACCCTAAATGTTGATAGCAGAAATTCAGCCCTATCTGAATTGCTTTCAAAAGCCCTTTTGATCTTTCCAGCTTAACGGGTTTTGTCTTCCAAATGCGCGATTCTAACTTTTATTTGCTCTTTATTTTTGCTATTCCATATTTTAAAAATATGCTCAGTAATTTTCCTTCTTGTTCCTTCAGTAGCAGTCTGGATTGATATTTAAACAAAAATAACTTTCTCTTTAGGGAAACAGCAGTAGCATTGTTCCTGCCCTACTGCACTGGTATTTACCTACTGATCATTGCTTCTAAATGTAAAATTGTGTGTTTTCAGTTATAAGTATGAGACAGCATCACATACAGCATCTTCAGCCAACTTAACTTCAAGCATAAATCCATGTTCCCTTCGTCAAGATGTGAACAAAACCTTGTTGGAGACTTCCAAATCAGGTAAGGAACTGTAAGCACAAATACAGGAGTTAGTTTTACCTTTGGTTGCAAGTGGAGTAACTTATTACCCAATACAAGATTTCCAGTTAGGTTTCTAGCCTCAGTTTCTACTTACCTGAGAACGTTACCAACACTTCAGTGCATTTTGTTCATTAAATCTGTTGAAGGAATATTCAGCAAACACAAATTACTAGGATCCAGAACCCAGCTTTCCTATGTTCTCATTTCCAAATTGTAATAAAATGACCCTAACACTGAAGGAGATGCTAAGACTGCGTGCAAAGAGATTTCTGCAGGGATTCAGTTACCCAGAACCAGGGGCTTGGGGGTTGGAAGAGATATGGGGGGTGAAGTTGCACAGAGTTAACTGGAAATAAATAGAGATCTCTATGATCTTACTTAAAATATGGAATACAGCTGTTATACATGTTGTCACAGATAGAGAAAAAGTCAAGCTGTGTCCCACTAATCTTCTAAAAACTTCTAGTTTTATATGACAGATAATATATTTATGATAATATCAGTCTGTATTTTTTTTCATATGGACATTTTTTCTGATGGGTGATATTTATCTGTATCTTTAGAAACCAAATAAAATGGAGGTGGAGGAAAGTGATACTAAAAGATTATTAAAAGTTATAATACAGCCTGCCATTAAACTTCCATAAGGCGAATGCTGTTAATGCCTTAAATACTAAGTTAAGATCATGTGCTGAATTTCCTCTGATTTGTCACTATTCCCCATTCAACTATTCTATTATGAAAACGTAACCTCTCATTATCTACAGATTGTGAGAAGGAACCATCATCATACATGTGGATATATATCTTACTGGGAAATATGTTACGTGGAATTGGTGAGACTCCAATAACACCACTGGGCATTTCTTATCTTGATGATTTTGCAAAGGAAGAGGATGTTCCTGTATACGTAGGTAATCTCAACATAAAGTAAACTGAGAGATTCTTAGTGTAAGAGGTTGATCATCCTCTGCAGAAGAAAACATTAAGCCATTGAATTTTACTAGCATTTGCTTCATTATATTTCCAGGATGTTTGCACACAATAGGCATGTTCGGCCCAATGTTTGGTTTCCTGCTGGGATCTTTATGTGCCAAACTATATGTGGATGTTGGATTTGTGGATTTAGGTAAGTGAAGCAGAGGTAAAGTGAAAGTAACCTAATGCCTGTTGCCAACAGGTTCCTCTACACCAGATTTTTTATACTAACTGTATTAATTAAACTATATTTCAATTACCTAAATTATGATAATTTTATTATATACTTTGTTATAAATTTCTGAAAGCTTTTAGGACAAAGGCAGAATTATACTAGGAAAATATTTTAGAATCCTCCTTTAGGTTTGAAGGATTAAAATATACATTTAATTTTAAACATTAATACCAAGAACTCTTACAGACCAAAGTTTTTCTAAATTGGGTTCTTAATAAGAGGGTTCTGTTAGCACACCAATTATCTTGTTTTGTTGGATTATCAGCTCTTTCAGCTGGGCATTTAATGTTACTTACAATTCATTTAATGTTTGCAGTAGCCTATATTCTTTTTGCCAGTTCTTGCTTATTTGAATGAAAAGAAAACACATGTATGTAATCACATCCACAGAATGCTAAAGCGAGCAGGGTAATCGCCATTAGTGGTGGCTATGGCCCTACATCATATTCCCTTAAGAGGCAGGAATCACCTCTGAGATGGTGTTTCCTGGCCATTCAGTGTCCTAGGTGCTGGATAAGGACCTCTAGGTTATCCGGTGTGACACAGAATGGCACTCAAAATAAGATGCAGACAGACAGATTAAACATAACACCATTGAGGGTATCATTCCTGATGCCTTCAATGGGTGAAAGATCTGTCATTAGATAATTATCATTACCACTGAAATTCAGCCATTGCAAAAATGTAGCCATTTTAGCAGACAAAAAGTGGGAAGTTTTGTCTCATTTAAGTAACATGGTTCTGTTTCTCTTATTTCTAGGAAGCATCACTATCACTCCACAAGATTCCCGCTGGGTGGGTGCATGGTGGCTTGGTTTTTTAATAGGTGGAGTAATCAGTTTCCTAGCTGCTATTCCATTTTGCTTCCTGCCAAAGAGTCTGAAAAAGCCAGGGGAAGCTAATCATGACAAAACTTCATCTAGTCTCCTGGAAAATATGGGAGCCATCAGGAAGACACTTACTCCTGCAGAACCTAAGCCAATGAAGTGGTCAACAATGATGAAAGGCAAGTGTTTTGTATGTTGTATAAATATGGAAAGTAATTGGCACAAAGTACTGCAGAAATGTGATAGTTCTTCAGAATATTTTGCCTCCCATACACTTCATTCTAAATGAGTTAGCTATCCCCAGAAAGGAAGTGTCCAATAAGTATTACGAGAAGTTAAGGAGCTTCTTCAAGAACAGCATATGACAGAGCAGAGATTGCCAATGAAAATGATAGACGATTAACATTCATTAAAACTTTCAGTTAAAACCTTGAAAAATTCCATAAAATAATACTGCATATAAATAATGTGTGATGTCTCCAAGCACTCTTTTACCTGTTTTTAAGGAAAGGGGAGAGAGAGAGAAGAGGCAAAATGCATAGTAAAAGTAGTTATTCCTTTTTTTTTTTTTTTTTTTTTTTTTTTTTGAGGTCAATGGTCTAGTGCTAAATAAAATTAATTTATTCAAGCTATCAGTATGAGAAAAAAATGGCCTGGATGACAGTTAGTTCTTCGTGTTCCCAAAAATGAGGAAAAATTCCATCTTTTCTCCCAAGCAACAACCACAGGACAAGAGGAAATAGCCTCCAGTTGTGCCAGGGGAGGTTTAGGTTTGGATTTTAGGAAAAAAAATCTTCACTGAAAGGGTTGTGAAGCATTGGAACAGGCTTCCCAGGGAAGTGGCTGAGTCCCCATACCTGGGGGTATTTAAAAGATGTGTGGATGTAGTGCTCAGGGACATGGTTTAGTGGTAGACTTGGCAGTGCTAGGTTAATGGTTGGACCTAATCTTAGAGATCTTCTCCAACTTAAATGATTCTGTAATTCTATGAGGTTCTGTATGTATCACTGCCTGAGTGGAACCTATCTCTGAAAGTTTGCAATACAAATTTGAATAGTGGAAACAAAATTTCAGTATCAGGAGCTAAAGAAAACACTAGAGGGCTCCTTTGCAATATAGAAAACCAAATTATCTTTCTGATTGTCGTAGAACTCATGGAGCTCATAGAGACTCTGAAATGCGTTGCTGCCAGAGTTAAATATGGCAGGCTAAAATGCCACTTCTAATTGTGCAGTCCTTACAATAAGAGGGAAAAGGTGAAGGGAAGAGATGGCTTTCCATCATCAGAAATATTCTACTGTCTTAGTTCAGATCACAGTGGAAGATATGCCATTGGACGTCTCCACAAAGGCAGTTGACACTTAGCCTTGAAACTGTGATGATATTCTTGTAAGGTAAAACAAGTCTCTGCTTCAGAAAGGAGCCCTTTTTTCTTCTCATTATAGGATTCAATCCTTAATCTGCAGTTCTGTGTTCTTTTAAGGCTCTTTCTCCTTATCTCAACCTCTGGAGTTTTCAAGATCATGGTTTGTTTTCAGATACTCACAAGCAAATGAAGATCAGTAGGACTTGCCCTTGGACATCTAAGAGAAGCATTTTGCCCTAAATGTCATAGATTACTCACCAGTAATTATTTCATGTACATGTATATTTCAAAGCCAACTCATATATCCCTTTCTTTCAGATTTCTATACCTCCCTGAAAAAAATATTGAGTAATCGAATGTACTTTACATTTTTATGTTGCTCACTGTTACAGTTCAGTAGCTTTATTGGTTTCTTGACTTACAAGCCAAAGTACATGGAACAGCAATATGGACAATCTACATCTAAATCTAACTTTCTAATAGGTGAGTTACACTGTAACTGTTTATCTTGTAAAAGGTGCATGGGGAGAAGTTGTGTCATTCTGTTTCTGGGACTGAATTCCATGTAGAACAGACTGATGTAAATGGCAGTCTCTCCAAACTTGAATTAGATGAAGTCAACATATAAGCTACAGTTTTGGTGTCTATGGAACCATAATAAATAATTGTATTATATTCTTTATATTTGTATATATGTATGTAATATTCCATTCAATTATTTATACTATATTCTATTATTATAGCAAAAGCACCCAAAATATTCAATGAATCATGTGTGGGAGCTTAAAATGCTTCAACATCTGACTGCTGGGTACCTTGCCAAGTGGAAGCAAAATGCTGTGTCAACTAGCTGGGCATACAGGGGGGTTTGAGAGTTAGACACTTCAAAATAACATACACAACCCAAGGATTAGGCTGAGCAGAAAGCCTCTTAGACTCATTATAATACAATTATAATACAAGCCAGGGACATCAGCCTGAGGACAGAGTTTGGCTCATAAGATCAGTGTTACTCTTATTTTAACATTCCCCTTCAACAATCTCTTTCAGGACTGACATCCTTACCCCCTGTTGGTATTGGGATTTTCCTAGGAGGGCTCATAATGAAAAAGTATAAAATGGGCATCATTGGAGCAACCAAATTTGCATTTAGCATGTCATTTGTGTCTTATATCCTCACTCTCTTGCACTTTTTTGTTGGCTGTGAGAACCATGTGGTAGCAGGAATAACAGTGTCCTATGATGGGTGAGTATAAAATGAAGACTATGTTTTTCTTCATGGCAGCAATAGTTCAAATAATATACTAAGATACCAAGGATAAAATGGGAACATGCTTAGAGGAAGAAAACACTAACAAGTGTCATTGTCATAGTTTTGTTGGTCATCAGAGTGTCAGCCTGCCAAAGTGCAACACTTGTTGAAGTTTACTTAGAAACACATTAGCAAAATTGCATCACTACCAATGAAGGTTTTGGCTTCTGTGGAAGTGGCACTGCTGTTTCACTTAGTGCTATCTCTACACCAGAAGTAATCTTCTTGCAGAGTGCATTCAGACCCAGTAAAAAGGTGAAGTGTATGTACCGGAGCATTGGTAGCACATTCTGCACAGAGATGGAAAGACTGCCGCATCCTAGACTTTCAGACTGCTGTAAATTAAAATGAAGCTTTTATGCCTACTGAAGTTGTTCTCTCCTCTCAAGATAGAACCAGGGTTTAAAAGTTACAAGCTATTATTTTTTCCTGGAGTGAATAAAGATACTAGAATAGTGGGTTTGTGCAAGAACATCGTTCCAAAGGGCCCAACAAAACACTAGCGTATGGGTTGGCACTATCTCATGTCCATCTTACTAGGAGTATTTCATGGCTGGTGGGGCCCTTTCTGCATCTCCCTGGAGGCTTACCCACAGTTCATCAATTTGACAATGCAGTTCATTAATCGAGGCATACTGGTTCAAAGCTGAAAATATAGAACACGACAGGCAGGATGCCAAGGATTTTAACATTTTATGGAAGCTGAGAACTAATTGTCTGCCTCTTGCCCTGTTCCCTGCAACACGTTCATTAAAAACCCAAATAGTGGCCTAGGAAATGTGTTTAGTAAGCTCTGAGATGAAAGAGATGCCAAGCACATAAGCTTAGTTAAACAAGAAAGAAGACGTGGGAAGACATCCCCCTTGTTACAGAACTCAGTTCAGGATGTCTGAAAGTAGAATCAGTATCAGCTGATCTAGAATCTAGAATCTAGAATCAGTAGCAGCTACTTTATTTGCTATAACATTCTATGTAAATTAGTGATCACTTTAATATGAGTGTGAGTAGGATGGAATCTGAAGCAAAGAGATCAATATTGCAGAGACTCAAAATACATATCCTGGGCTTGTGAGATGGATTTCGTAACAGTGACACCGTTGTGTGTAAAGGGTTATGCTGACATCATTGTTGAATTAAAAGTTATTCTTACTCTGTCGAGTTGTTCTTACTCTGTCTCAACTTAACTTAACAAGCAAACCAATTCCATACCATGAAAATGCCATGTTTTCTGACTGCAATTCTGACTGCAAATGTGCCACCAATGTGTGGGATCCTGTATGTGGGGACAATGGACTGACATACGTTTCAGCATGTCTAGCTGGGTGCACGACTTCAGTGGGACATGGAAAAAGCATGGTAAGAGCCTGCTCCAGCTTCTGTTTTTTTTACTAGCTTATTTTCCATTTAAAATCAGGATTTCAGCAGTATAATGCTTTTAAGAGAAACCAAATTTACTGGGGAACAGTCAGTAAAGTATTTATGATTTCTGGCTATGAACAGCATAGAAGACATAGACATTTCTCTGATAAGAAAAAAGCCCTAGCTCTTTGTTGTAGATACTAACTTTCATCTTTTGTGGACTGAATGTGAGAACCTAGTGATTCAGAGTGTTTATATGTTGTCTGAAGGTTGCCTGTGGTTTGCTTCTCATAAATCTCATTTTGGCTGCCCTGAAGTTTTTTAACCAGTAGTTAAATTACACTAACATGCCATAATATCTCCCGTGATACACATCACTATTGTAACAGCAGTTTAAAAGGCAAGTCTAAATGTCTGTGAGAGTGGAACTTTTGCCTACAACACAAGCCTGCCTCTGTAGAGGTTAAGGTTCATGGACCACAGTTCCCCTTACATAAGCGGATCCCCATGCCCCACAAGGCCTAATTAAAAGCTATTGCTCTTAAGCTATCTGTACACCTACTGCTGATCTTGGGCAGGGGTCTACATGAGTTGTGTCTTGACAGGTAGCTGCTTCTTACAGCTGTGAGGTACCTCTGGTGGATCAGCCTCAGCAAAGAGGGACAAGTGATCCTGGCATTTTCACAAAGTCAATTAACAGGTGGAGACAACTAGCACATTCCCTTGAACCTTGCTGTTCCCCTTCAACTGGTCTTCAGGCACACAAAGGCTGAGGACAGGTTCAGAGGTCCTGAAGGTCTTGAACATCTTCCAAAAAGTGATACTGTGTCCACTGATAAAAAGATGCTGGAACATCCCTTCCTAATCTGAGCATTTGTAGGAAAGAAAAGAAGCTGCTGCCCATTGCCTCAAGAAAGGCAAGCAAGAAAAAAACAGGATGCTTAGAAGGGCTTCAGACTCTGCCTATGTCTGAAGGCAGGATTCCCCCTATTGTGAGCAATGTCCCACAAAATCCGTTTTGTGTCTTCCAGGTCTTCCATAACTGCAGCTGTCTTAAAGCCAGCAGTTCATGGTCAGGAAATAACTCTGTCACCTTGGGGCAATGTCCCAAAAGTGATGATTGTTCAAAGAAGTTTATTTATTATACAGTAATACAAGTCATAAGTGGCTTTTGTTATGCGTTGGGAGGCACACCAGCATACATGATTATGTTTAGGTAAGTAAAACTGTGCTGATGATTGAACTTTTCCAATGCAGGGATCAAAATGATTCAGAACCACTTATGCACATTTACATATATGTTTCAGTAATCCAAGGAAAATTTTCAATTAGTAGAAAAATGTACTAGTGATAAATTTCATGGGAGTCCTGAGGGCATTATCTCACCCTAAATGAGCATGGAAAAGACAATGCAAGCTCATCTCCCTTCCTCATTGCTTTGAGACATTTTTCTGAGTGTTGACTATGTTAATATTTGTAAGGAGTTGTCAGAGACTGGATATATAATGGATTCAACATCAGTGCACATATTGGACGCTTGAAGTGTGGTTCCTCATGAAACAGATGGTCATATTGCCAGATGGCTTTGTGTAGTTCTAGATGTAGTGTTGTACTGAGGAGTGTCATTCATGTATAAAAAAGATGCTGCACAAATATTGCTACTCACTACATTTTTGTTCTAGGACAATATGGTATTTCTATCAGGTGAGGAAAATGTATGCTACGGAATCAAAGCAGCTGAGAAGCCCATTTCATTAACACTAGTATAGAGTGTGATTATGATTTTAAAATTTCAATTCTCTAATTATACTTAGTGAATGGACTTCCCAGGAGATAGATATGTGATAGAAAACAATAGATTCGTTCACCTTTTTCATAGCACTTAGCATATTTTCAGCAATCGTAGGAAGCATTCTCCTTGCAAAGCTTGACTTTCTGTCATTAAGTGTTCAATCTGAGGAAATTAACAGCAATTTAATAGGCATGTCTAAACACTTGATAGGCAAATCCTTCTTATCCATCTTTCTTTCAGATGTGTTCAGCCAGAGTTGAAAGCTCTTGCAGTTGGTCTATACACACTCATTATGAGAACACTAGGTAAGTGAAATCATTCTAAGATGCTTTTTTGCATGCCTTTGAATAGCACCAATACAATCACCATTTGTGAAACATGTATACGTGAAATAGCTGAACATTCTGTGTTGTTCCTAAAGGTCCAACATACACTGCAGAGTTCATTGGTAAGTCAGCTGACAACTTTGAAAAGATTTGACCTGCTGATTAAATGGTGTTGCGCTCTAGGACCCTGGTGTTCCAAAATGGGCAGAGTTTCTGAGAAAGTTTATATTTTATCTTGAATTTTGAAATAATTCTGTAAGGTTCCAAACTTGCCATTAAACCAGTGGCTAACTGAGATGCAGTGCTGCAAGTAAAACACAAAAGAAGTGCTCTAGCAGGACTTCATTCAACACCAATACAATTGTGTCCATAGCAAAGTGCTTTCTCTACACTAAAACTTCCTTTTCCTGGAACAACGTAACAAGTTAAATTTCATTTCCCTTTAAGCATGCAGCAATGCTCCTTTTTTTCTTTTTTCTTTTTTTTTTTTTTTTTTATTTTATTTGAGAGTAGCTAATGAGATGGTTGATTAACATGCCTAGACTGGCAAGAAAATACTTCTCTGTTTTCTTTTGTTCTCTTCTGTTCTCTTCGTTGATGGAATAAGAATACCAGCTTTTCAGAAACTTTGAGAAATATGTGTTAAGAATCAAGCTGGATTTGCTATGAAGCCTAAAAAAATGACAGTGGCTTCCAAATTTGGGCTGTAGTCTCTGCTCAGGATTGTGATGAGACATTTGGAGACAGGAAAGCGCACTCATTTTGTCCTCTTGTACTTTCTTATTCAAACAATGGAGGAGCAGAATTTCTCCCCCATCACTTGGGACAAACAATGCCAAGCTTGGAACTTTTCTGGCAGTGGGACAAATAAAAATAAAAATAAAATTAAAAACAAAAACATTAAAAAAAAAGAATTTATCCTTTCTTATAAGCTTTTGCTTCAGCACCTCCAGAGAGTATGCTCCTTCTATTGTAAGAATGTGTAGAGTCACAGTTACTGATGTATTAAAGCTGGCCTTAATCTACATTGACTTGGAGATCAAATCTGCTCCCCTCTTCCTTCTGTAAGCAATATTCCAAATATCTCAAAACAGCACTTCTCCCGTCATCTTGGCTACAACCCTAATGATCATAACTTACAGGCCTTTATAGATATCTTATTGAGTTCACACTCTCACAAGAGCCCTAAAATACAACAGGCTGAGAATATACCTATTACAACAAAATACATTATTTCCTATTTAAGAATACAGAATGCCCATGTACAAGCAAAGGCAACATGAAACATGGTCCTGTGCATGTTGAAGCACATATTTCTCTGAAGTCAGTTCCCACCCTTGCTTCAGCAAGGATAGGATTTTGTCCCATGCCTGCCATCTTTTGCAGTAAAGCATAAGCTTATATCTGGCCAAATCACACTAAGGATTTCATTTGCTCTACTCCCATAGACATTTTTGAAAAGCATATTCAGTACATCTAGTCCCATATACTTGGTGGCATCCCTTCAGACAAATTGACTACCAGACACTATCAGACAGACGAAGGGAAGAGCCAGCCTGGTTAATTCAGGCTGTGTGTAGAAGTGGGAACTGTATCAGTTCAGTGCTGCAAACACACAACTGGTCCACCTCTCCCACACATCAGCTTGGCGTGCACTGGATGCCACACTCAAGAAACCAGCATGATGGAAGAATCAGTGTGCTCAACTACAAGCCTGGCCACCCTTAGACCACACTCCCTGGGAACTGATGCTCCCTAGGGCACTGAGAGGGTATCCCAGCTTGAAGTTATTCTGATAAAAGTTCCCCACAGTCCACCTATTAACACTTTTGCAGCAGATGGCTTGCTACTAAGAAAACATAATGCTGCCTTTGAAAAAGACATCTTTTCCTGTGATATCTTGAGACATTTTTGCTTTTTCTATTGCAGCTGGGATTCCTGCTCCAGTTTATTTTGGTGCACTGATTGACAAAACATGCTTGAAATGGGGAAGCAGAAGCTGTGGGCAGCAGGGGGCTTGCAGGTTATACGACTCCAATGCATACAGGTAAGGCAAAGTAGAGCACCAAAAGCCTCATGCATTTCCTTTATACAGGTAGAAACTCCTCGGTCTGTCATACTGTAATAATGTATGAGGCCACTGATCAAACATCATGGTCAGATACTAGCTCTGGACTCAGATTTGGTCATCACAGAATTCCTGAAATTGACTAATTTTGGGATTAAATCTTAAACTCTTGGCTTTTTAGCCAGTTTTTAAATTGTGCAAAAATCCTTTAGTGTCAATGACAGGGACTTTTGGAATATCTAGAAAATATCTATTCTAATATCATTTGAATCAATTTAAAAGACCTAGGGCTTTATGATTTACCAGTAAGAGGAAAGACATGCAAATTTACCTCTGCAACTATTTTCATAAGCAAATAGAATTTTATATATTTAACAGATGCTTTTACTAGCCAAAATGTCCAGTTTGTTGTGCCATTAGCTTTCAAATTGTCTTCCCCTGAACTATTATGTGGATTTGGTATATATGTGATTCTTAAAAGTCTTCAAAAGTGATTTTCTTCAGTTTCTTTAGAAACAAATAACATCTGTCACTACCTTTTATGCTCTATCCCACAGGTATGTCTACCTTGGTTTATCAGCATTGTTGAGAGGTCTTTCTTACTTGCTTGCGATCCTTTTCTTTACATTTATAAAGAAACACTTTCAAAATAAGAACTCCAGACCTACAGAGAATGGAGGAAAAGAAGATGTTCCCATGAATAAAGATGATAATTGCAAGAGCAAAGAAAATTTGGCGGGTTCTCCTGATGCAGAGAACGAATCATGTATTTAGAAAGCCATCTAGACCTGTGTCGCATGAATCAGGACAGCTTCCTTTAAAAACAGCTTTCACTTTGTCATGAATAATTAAATGATAGTTTAGAAAGTTCAGAAAGGCAAACTGGTAGTAAATCTGTGAACAACAATAAGAAAAACTTACATATAAGTATGAAATCGACTTATGTATACCTGGCTATAAATAACAGACAGAACAAATTGTAGGAGCTGAACAGAGTGATGAAAAGATACAGAAAAGTCTCCCTTAGCATTCTCGACAGAGCTAGTCTACAATTTTTAATGGGTTCAAAGATGAGTGGTGGCAGAACAGTCACAAAAGCCCCACAAAATGTGACGCGGATCCCATACGCAGATCTGTGCAGTGGAGTGACGTCAGAATGACAAACTCAAGTCTTACAGATGCATTGTGATTTCATCAATCAGAATTCAAAACAAAAACAAAGCCTTCCAGCAAAATGCTTACACCTTAAGTGAGTCAATACAACAAACTGCCACTGCAAAATTAACAAAAGCAGTATTTTTCCAGGAAACATTTTTGTCGTAATTCAGATGAACGTTTTATGCCTTAGAGTAAATAATTATGCTTACGAATCTCACAGTTGTAGCAATTTATTAAAAACGTGGGTTTTTTTTTTGTTTTTTTTTTGTTTTTTGTTTTTTTAGTTAATTCTGCATGAAATGTAATAATTATTCTGAATTTTGTAGTGATTTCTTAGCAAAATTCATCCAATGTATGCTAGTAGTTTCATTGCTATGCCACGTAGTGTCCAGCAGAGGACACTCAAACAATAATTTTACACCTATGGCTATTGCAAATAACGTATTTGTGATGTTCCATCTTTATTGTTTTGGAAGAAATTCATCAACGGGCAGGCAAAACACTCATCTGTGTTTTCATGCACTTTTTCAGCCCAAGCCTTTAGCTCATATTTTCAAAGTTGCTTTTGTATATTTCTTGATTTGAGTTCATTCTATTTGCATCACTAAGCTTGACAACTGTTGTTACTTTAAATAAAAAGATGTGTACTTGTGTACCATTTAACGACAGTGAATGAATTATCTGGTTGAGACTTTAAAATAGGTGCTCAATGTTTAGTGTGATATGGTTAACAGACATGTTAGATTAAAAAAAAAAAAAACATTGAGCAAAAAGCTGAGTCGTTCTAAGTGTTTGTCATGACAGTCACTTAGCAGTGATTGTAGCAGCTAAATTAAAAGAATGGGACTTTTTTCTAAATGAAGTGATACTTACTTGAGGGAGTCATTCGCCATCTAGAAAAACTGGCATGACTCTGCTTGGTCAAATTGTATTTGCATCTGTTTAATATATCCAGATAAAGCCATAGGAATGACTTGTGGGACCTAAATGAACAAACCACCTTACCTAGCTGTTGAAATTGGGAGTGATTTTTGACAGGGAAAGTAAATGCAACTGTCTGGTTCTCCCTGTCTTTCAGTTGCTTAGTTCAGATGATATTTTATTAATGCATCTTGGGGCATATGTATTTTCCAGTGGTGACTCTGGACAGAGTTTTGGGTGAGATATTTTTAATCCTAAATCTGTAACCTTTGAAAACATATTTTATATGAACGGGTATACCAGCTTGAACCTAAAACAAGAGCTAATTATAGATGACAGATTATGAGAATTATGCATAAGGAATCATCAATGCCAAAAGAAAGAGTTACAGCCTGCAGCAGATTTAGGAAGGTATTACTCAAGGCTGGTGAGGTCAAGAATGTGTCAGTAAACTGGCCTCTCATGTCAGAAACAAAGGCTGGCACAAGAAGATCATAACCTGCTTTTGGAGGTTTTTCTTGGGGAAAAAAAATGCTTCCAGCTAGAGAGAGGTTGCAAAACCAAGCTGCCCCAGTATGCCACGGTAACTTAGCACCTGCAAATCAAAGAGAGACACAGAGACAGCACTTTGTTTAGTTGTCAGACTTGAAAAAAATGTTGTTCTTCCCTTCACCATTAAAAATAATGCAATAGCAGACAATGGATCTGTGGTGGAAGCAGAGCAAGTCAGACACTTTATTTTATCTCATAGTACAACTTTGTAATTTTTCTGCTACTGTTGTGTCCTGAGAGCCCTTGGTGCATGAGAAGCAATGCATGTGTACGTAGGTGTTAACGTAGGTGTACACACACACATGCACACAACACAAAATGGCAATCTCTGCTGCAAAGTGATTCTATTTGAGGTAAGGCAAGATATATATTGCCAAGCAGGAAACCAGCAAGTCTTCATGGTGCCTGCTACTAAGCACATTCAGGAAAGATTTGAAGAAAACTAGAGGCAAAATTCTGAGCAACCTTGCAGTTCTAGAAAGAAAGCCTAGACACCTTTTTGCACTGGTGTTTTTAACAGGTGAACAATTACTCAGTGGAAAGATGTGCATGAATGTGTCTCAGCAATAATTTGTCACTGCAGCCACAGTTTTTACACACTGACTGTGAAAAATGAAATGTCCACAGCTATTCTTTTATCCACCACTGTAAAAATACCCATAGCTCTATTTGCTTAGCTCTTCAGAAAGGCAGCCCAGTGTCCTTCAGGTGTCTTCCTTTAAGTAGTGAAGGTTCTGAACACCAGGGTCAATACTTCTAAACCCAGAGAGGCAACGTTTACAACTGACAAAGGTGGAAGTTGTTACAGCAGTTGTGGGCGGGGGGGGGGGGGGGGGGGGGGGGGGGGGGGGGCGGGAGGAGGTTACAGTGGTTTTGTTTTTGATGTAATTTTGTTGTTGTTGTTGTTTTTGTTGTTGTTTGTTTTTGATGGGTGGGCTTTTCTTGATGTACAGTGTAAGAAAAAATGTTTCATCTATGTTTTACCCTTTAACATGCCTAAAGCTGGCCCCTCTTTGCATTGCTGATTCGAAGAGATGGACTCATCAGTAGTACAGGTAGCTGTTGAACAGATACCTCTCTGAATTTCCTGAATCAAGAGCTTATGAGCAACATGTTTCTTGCAAACTTGCATTAAGCTCTGAGCTTCATGTAAGAGCATGAAAAAGGAGAAAACCTGAAAGCATTTGGATTATGAGGTCTGTGAGAGAGCAACAACAACAAAAATATGAAAACTTCAAGAAATGATCCCCCATCTATAAAAAATGCAACAAAGCTACCATGCTATGGACTGCAAAACGTTTACTGTGTGTTCAGTGCTATGTACCAAGGGTGAGAGACAAAAAAATACAAAAAGAAGTAAAGCCTTTTCCTATCTTGCTACCTTCTATGCCCAAAGCAGGCTGGAGAATTATTTTTGTCTTTCCTACTAACGCAGAGGAACATAACTACACAGAATCTTTCTCACTTAATAAAAAGTGTCTGATGTACAAAACCAATACGGAAATGCTCTTGGTGCTAATCATGCTTAGCTTAACATCCTTTTATGTAAGTATCTACAGTTCAAGACACAGCTGAAATGCAAAAGGAGTGGGGTTTTGAAAACCGTGTGGTGCCATGAGTTTTATGTCTGAATCAGCACAAAACATGTGAAAGGCTCAGCCAATGTAGTTGACAGTAGCTTATGGATGTTAATCTAGTTTTATCTTGAGTAAGGATCTACATAAAATAAAATACACCACATAGACATATGACACAACACTAAGACAAAGCTTAAGGTATCATTTTTTTTCTTGGTGACAAATTAGGTATTGAGGCAACTCCATCCACGGTTAATAAACTCACTTACTTGACCAAGCTGACAAGAAGGCTCGAGTTTTCAGCTGAAACAGTATTAAAGACTAGCTCTTTTATTTTATGTAAGAATTTATACAATGGCTTTCTTCGTAAAATGTCTGTCATACATTTTATCCATAGCAGCATAACATCAGAAGGTGAGTTTAGATTTAAGTGTATGAGTTGTCATTACTATTAACATTCTTGGACTTCAAAAAATTCTATTAATTTAATGCACCAGTGTGAAATATTCTGGAGTACTGTGAAAACACAAAGGACACTTGATGGGGCTAGGTATGCCTGCTGTGAGTGCCCTGTTGGACTAGAGTCACAGACCTGACCAAGGATGGACCACTGATATGTTCTACTCACTTGAAGGACAAATGTCTCATATGAAGTCGGATTTCTGAGTCTTTTAAAAGCTGAATGTCAAATTCTTTGCTACAATCATCTGATATCTTAACAGTTGCTAACTATTTTTCAAAGATACTTGTTAGTGGTCAATAATAGCACAAACTAGTTTTCTTAGTGCAACTTCTGCATGCTTTCTGGAATTCCTTACTTTTGCCCACTAAGTACCTGCAAGTATTTACTTGCAAAAGCTCCTTAGTTTCCAATTATTCACACTATTTTTTTTCCTTCTTCTTGAAAACAGGTTTTGAAAGAGAGTTCAATAGCTGACTCATTTATGAGTCACCATTAATTTCAGCCCACTAGTCTTTTTTTAATCCTCATTTGAATACATGGGATTTAAAGTTGTTTGTTGTTTTCATTGACTTCAGGAATGCATTGAACTGGCTGATATGAAGCATTATGGAAAGTAAGAAATGCTTTTGCCTTCCAGGTCTCATAACTGACCTTATTCCAACCTTTGTCTCCTGTGTAAATTCAGCACCTGGCTTAGGACAGGTGATATGATGATGTCGCTATCACATTTCAACTAGTTCTTAACGCAATCCAAATATTAGCAGGATTAGAAGATCAGCCATCGGATGAGCTGTCATTATCTTTATATTGATGACTCTACTTAATGAGGTATTAACTCTGCTAGCTTACAATCATTTTTGACTTGCAATAAATGCCAACTTGCATTTCATTGGAAAGCAACAGCAGCCAACACATTGGGCAGGTAGAGTCCAGTTGTTCCTTAAAAGCTTCACGAAAACTGAAGGTTTCATCAATTGTAAGACTGAAAAACAAAACTGCCTTAGGGGCAGGTACTTATGGGTAGGTGGATAGACAAACATTAACGATCAGAACATGAATTTATCAAATCAATGTACTACCTAAATTACTTTATCTCCTAAAAAAAATTTTGTTGAAAACAGTTATGGTAATACATTGCAGTGAGTAGACGCAGGAAATCTTTGCAAGGCAGCAGCTGGTAAGTATTATTTTGTAAATTGAATTAAGGAGTAAAAAATAAAATAGATTGGAATACAAGAAATGAGATTGATAACAGTAACCAGAGTTAATTGTCTGGTCCAATTTCCAACAATAAAAAAGAAAATCTACAAACCATCTGGCCCAGTTGATCTAAACACTGACCTCTAGGTAGGTACTTTATGCAAAGCTAGAGGATTTGTTTTGGTGCATAAGTGCAAAACTGCATTGTGCAATTTCTAGTTGAAGGAGACAATCGTGTTAAAGGAGTTACTCTCCCATTTGCAGAAATTATTCTCTTTCCAAGTTGCTCTAAAGTATCTTCTGCATTGAGAGTTCAATGACTAGTTACTTTTGTTCCTTTCCTGATCTTCAGTTTTTCTCTCAGATGGTGACTCCTACAGAAATAGATAAAATCCATATATTTCCACTACTATCTCCATTAAGATCTTCAGCTCTTGGATCAGCTTTCATCAGTGCTATGCAGTGAAAGGAGAACTGAGGTGTAAACAGCTATTATATTACACACCAATATTTGAGTGATCTGATACAAGAAGGAATGTTCTTTATCTTCACAAACTTCAAAAGAGGATCTGTTATCCTTGTACATGAAACCAAGGTAGACAGTTTTTGATGCATTGAAGCTGAACAGCCTGCCTTGGGATCTGGGACATCTGCATTCAGTTGCCTGCTCTCTTTTAGATTTATTTCTTGGGTCAAGAAATACAGGCTTAAGAATGACAGATAAAAGAGCATTTTCCAAAACACTTATAAGTGCTTATGAATCAAATTTATAAGCAAAACTTCTAAACCCATATTTTTCTCTTTCAGATTACTTTACAACATCCAATGGATCCAAGCTCCAAAAAGCCTAACCCACCTTCAGAAATTAAACTGAGAGGCATGTAAGCAAGTGTTTAAAAAAGTCCATTTGAATGACTATCACTATATGTACAAGAAAGGAAGTGCATCAGAAAATAATTT